TACACAACCTCTTGGAGGTCCCCATGGGTAACATTCACAGGTGCTGGGGATTAGAGTGATATCTTTGGGAAGCGATATTCAGCCCACCCCAAACAGCTGCTGGCACAGGCAGCATATATCAGGGCTCTAGGGGTGGGTGTCTGCTTGGTGGATGGAGCTGATTAGGACAGGAAGGCAACTGTGGTGGGACATCAAAGAGGTCACCAGAGCCAGATTGTGTGGGACCCTGCAGGCCAGGGTAACAGCTGTGGGCTTTGAGATGAAATGGGAGCCATGGGAGGGTTTTGAGCAGTGGAGAGACATGACCTGACATCCACTTAAAATCGTGATTCTCCTGAGGTCAGGAGTTTGAGACCAGCCTGGCCAACATGGTGAAACCCCATCTCTACTCAAAATACGAACGTTAGCTAGGCATTGTGGCAGACACCTGTAACTCCAGCACTTGGGAGGCTGAGGCAGGAGAATCACTCAAACCCGGGAGGCAGAGGTTGCAGTAAGCCGAGATTACGTTACTGTACTCCAGCCTGGCCGATAAAGACAGACTTCATCTCAAAAAAAAGAAAGGAATGCCAGGTGTGGTGGCTCACACCTGTAATCCCAGCACTTTGTGGGGCCAAGCCAGGTGAATCACGAGGTCAGGAGTTCAAGACCAGCCTGGCCAACATGGTGAGACCCTGTCTCTAGAAAAATACAAAAAATTAGCTCGGCGTGGTGGCAGGCAACTGTAATTCCAGCTACTTGAGAGGCTGAGGCAGGAGAATCGCTTGAACCCAGAAAGCAGAGAGAGATCATGTCACTGCACTCCAGCCTGGGTGACAGAGCAAGACTCTGTCTTGAAAAAAAAAATGGTGATTCTGACAAGGTGGGCTTCCTTACAGGTAAGGGTGGGTCGCCCCCCCCCCGTTGGGGCAGGGAGTAGCAGCCGCTTTGCATGTGGCCAGCTGTACAATGAGATACTTTCCTCACCAAGCAGGAGACATGGTCAGGCCCAGCCTTGCCACCCTCGCCTGCACCGCAGAGTACAACATAAGACAAAACATGCCCCAGATTCCATTTTTAACCAGCCCATTCTGCCCTCTTCCTTTTCTTATTGGAATTTTTTAACTTCTTGGGGGGAAAAAAAACTTGCTTATAAATGCAATTCCAGTACTTAGCCTTGCTATATGGCTCTTCTACTCTGCCAAAGAAAGTAAAGGAGAAAATATTCCCTTTTTTTCTAAAGCTGCAGAAATGTAGACAAAGCTGCCAGTAGCCCATATGTCACCTTAGAGCGAGCTCACGAGCCATGTGTCCACCTCTCCCTCTTCTCCCCTCTTCCCACAGCCTGGCCCAGCCTTCCCAGAATTCACCTGTGACCTAATGCAAACAGGACCACAGGGGTGAGTCCAGACACAGCCGGCAAAGAGGCCAGTGGCCCGGCCAGAGCCACCAGGAGGGGCTCACCAGGGCCCAGAATGGCTGGTGTGAGCCTATGCCAAGGAGGGTGTGGGGGTGGAAGGGAAGACCCCTCATTCCCCAGGGCAGCTGGGGCTCCCTGCCAGTCCTGCCTCACACACCTGCACGTGACCATAACCTTGACACTCATCAGACCTCTCAAAACAATCCTCATCCACTGCCCCGACAGGAAGCCTGGGCAAGATGCCAAGTCGTATTTACTGCGTTTATGAGAAACCAAGACGTGGCTATTTATAGCCCTTTGATTTGTCTGCCAAGTGAGAACCGGGTAAACGCAATGACATCTTATGAGTGGAAAGTAGGCAATGCCGTCTGCCCCTTACCACAGACAACAGGCACACCTTGCTGCGTGAGCTCAACAGGTTCTCACACCAACCTGTGGGCACGCTTCGGACCACAGTCCTCATCCTGCAGTGCAGAAACTGAGGCTTGGGAAGGGACAGTCACTTGCTTCATGGACAGTGTGTGGCAGGGCTGAGGACGGAATCCAGGCGGACTCTTAACTCACCCTGCAAGCTCTCTCAGCTGCACGGTCCACACCCCACTGTCAACTCCTTTAAAGATAAAGCTCTTCTGAATTGTTTGTGGGACTCTTCGGAAACATTCTACCTGTTTCCTGCCTTCTCTTTTCAGCCCTATCTCTTCTTTCTGGCCCACTTCCTTCCTCTTTGATATTAAAATACATTTTTTTTTTCTTTTGAGATGGAATCTCACTCTGTTTCCCAGGCTGGAGTGCAGTGGTGCAATCTCAGCTCACTGCAACCTCCAACTCCCGGATTCAAGGGATTCTCCTGCCTCAGCCTCCCAACTAGCTGGGATTACAGGTGTGTGCTACCGCACCCAGCTACTTTTTGTATTTTTAGTAGAGACAGGGTTTTGCCATACTGGGCAGGCTGATCTCAAACTCCTGACCTTAAGTGATACGCCCACCTCGGCCTTCCAAAGTGCTGAGATTACAGGCGTGAGCCCCCGTGCCCAGCTGAAAATGCTTTCTTTCTTGTCTCTTCATTCCTTTCTCCCTTCCTTTCCTCTTTTTCCTTTATTTCTTTATCTCTTTTTATCAAGGCAATAAACACAATATTAGCAATCGCTGATGGCTAAATGGTCTCAAAAGGATCCCAAGTCTTCCTCGCCCAGTCTCTGCTGATTCTCCAGTAAACACCACGATTCCCCCCATTTCACACACACGGTGGGAATCCCGGGGCAGCTCTTCCCAGCTGAGTTCCCCCCCCACCCCATGCATAAGGCATATGGTTAGTACCGTCGCTGACACCCATGGCGTTGTGGCCACTGCAGCTGAAATTCTCAATGCACCAGAAATGCATCGAGAAAGTGCCCACTGTTGAGGAAATCTGATGTTCGATTTGTCCTCACTCTGCGGTGATCTTTTGTGGTGGGAGGTTCCCGGAGGGGGTCCCCACTGCCTTTCCTAGGGTCATCTCTCTGTGCCTGTTTCCCCTTCTGTAAAATGGGGTTAGCACTGGTAGCCACCTCATTCTTGTTGGGAGGATCCAGCTGTAATGTGCAGTGCTTAGAACAGTGCCTGGCACAGAGCATGTGCGCCACGAATGTTTCCTGTTGTTGGTGGCGTCTAGCAAAGCCCTCTGCCTGGGTGTGCCCACGGGGACCATTCCGGACCACAAGCTTCCAAGCCTAAGGCTGCCCTGCAGGCAGGATGTCCAGCCCCCACCGGTAGCCTCCAAACCTTGATCAACCACTCTGATTTTATTGCCTCTCTGCCCAGATATCATCAGTGGGGGTGTGGACACTTACGTGAACCCTTGGGGTCTCATAAGGGGCGCCCTGCAGATTCTAAGATTCACAGCTTCTGGCCTCATGTCCTGACTGCCCTCACCCCCAGCCTGGTTGGGCATGCTGGTGTTGCCCAGTGCCCAGCCACCGATCTCTCCTCCAATGCCTCTTCCTTCCTCCAGAGGCAAGCAGCAGTCACATTTCTGCTGTCATGCATCTCTCACAATTTCCACTTTTTTTTTTTTTTTTTTTCCCGGGGGCGGGGTCTCATTCTGTTGCCCAGGCTGGAGTGCAGTGGTGCAGTCATAGCTCACTGAACCTTGAACTCCTGGGCTCAAACAATCCTCTCCCACCTCAGCCTCCTGGGTAGCTGGGACTACAGACACATACCACCACGCCCTGCTAATTTTTTTTTTTTTTTTTTTTTGAGACGGAGTTTCGCTCTTGTTGCCCAGGCTGGAGTGCAATGGCGCGATCTCGGCTCACCACAACCTCCACCTTCTGGGTTCAGGCAATTTTCCTGTCTCAGCCTCCCGAGTAGCTGGGATTACAGGAACTCACCACCATGCCCGGCTCATTTTTGTATTTTTAGTAGAGACAATACAAAATTTTAGTAGAGAAAATACAAAAATAAAAACTTTTGTATTTTTAGTTTCACCATGTTGGCCAGGCTGGTCTCGACCTCCTGACCTCAGATGATCCACCTGCCTCAGCCTCTCAAAGTGCTGGGATTACAGGCATGAGCCACCGAGCCTGCCTAATTTTTAAAACTTTTTATAGAGACGAGGTGTCACTATGTTGCCCAGGCTGGTCTCAAACTCCTAGCCTCAAGTGATCCTGCCACGTCGATCTTCCACATGGTGGGATTACAGGCGTGAGTGAGCCACCATGCCGGGCCATCTCCACATTTGTTAAGGAGATGTTTATGCCACTGGTTTGTGGTTCATCAATGTTACCACAGAGCCCTTCTCTGTTGACTACCTGGGAGGCGGAGGTTGCAGAAAGCCGAGATTGTGCCACTGCACTCCAGCCTGGGCAACACAGTGAAACTCCATCTCTAAATAGATAAATAAATAATATAATATAATATAATATAATGTAATATAATATAATATAATGGAAGAGGAAGAAAGATGACAGATTTTTCTTTCTCTCTCTACCAAATGAGGACACGGCAAGAAAGTGGCCATCTGCGAGCCGGCAAGAAACCTCTCACCAGGAAAGCAAACCACCCAGATTCTTGCTCTTGGATTTACCAGCCTCCAGAACTGTAAGAAAAGAAATTCCTGTTGTGTAAGCCAGGAATTTAATTCCTGCAGGCAGAAGCCAGCCCTGGCTTGCTTTCTGGCCAGAGTCACCTGGCACCCACCTACCGCCATCCTGTCTGCCCCACACTGGACTGGCTTCCTTCACCTTATTCCCTGCTTTGTCTTTTTAAATTTTTCTTTTTTACAAATGAGATCTCACTCTGTCACCCAGGCTGGAGTATGGCTGTGCAATCACAGCTCCCCACAGTCTCAGCCTCCTGGGCTCAAGCAATTCTCCCGCCTCAGCCTCCTGAGTAGCTGGGATTATAGGCACGCAACACCACGTCCCGCTGATATTTTTATTTTTTGTAGAGTCGAGGTCTCACTATGTTGCCCAGACTAGTCTTGAACTCCTGGCCTCAAGTGATCCTCCTGCCTCAGCCTCCCAAAACGGTGTGAGCCACCGAGTCTGGCCTTTGCTTTATTCCTTGAGGCAGCCCTGCCTCCTCTTTCTACTCCCCTGTCCCAAATGATCAGAGACCCTAGGATAAGAACCACAGTGCTTTACTTTTCATCTGAACAGAGGAGATAACTTGAGGGACAGCCCCCAGGCACCAGGCAGCCTTCAGGGTGGGCAGGGTTAGGGGAGGTAGGAGACTCGGAACCAGCAGCCCCGGCTCCAGCTCCATCGTCTGTGTCTTCCCTCTCCGACTGGGCTCTTCGAGGGGATGCAGGAGGCTGGGCACGGTGAACCGACAGGGGGCTCAGTCTCAGGGTGCCCAGCGGGTTGTCGGCCCCTGCTTCTGATGGACTCACCTGCAATAATTCCGGCATAACTGGGACAACTGCCTGCACTTGCCACCTGTGGGTGAAGGAAATGGTTCAGTCACAAGCTGGAGCTATATTGATTCTTGTGTGTTCTGGGGCTGGGGAACCAGGTCGATCAACCCTGCCCCTTGGGAGCTCAAAGGCAACTCCATAAACAGGTGATGGAGAAACACGCCGAGAACAGCCGGTGTTCGGTTCCTGCGAGAGGCGCTTCCCACACTGGAACACAGATGAGCCCTTTGGAAACTCTTGTTATTTTGTATGTCACTTACTCATTCAGCATGCATTTATTGTGCACCTACTATGTGCCAGGCACTGATTCAAGCGCTAAGAACACAGTTGAGGACAAAGAAAAAAAATCTCTGCCCTGGTAGAGTTGTCTTTCTAGGAGGAAAGACCAACACGGAGAAAAATAACACAGTCAAATGTACAAAGGTGCTAAGTGGGATGGTGTTAAGTCCTACGAGGGGAAATAGGGCCAGGAGGAGGCACGGAGGCCCAGGAGCTGGCCTTATCCTCACAGGGATGGCTCCTGGGGCTTCAATAAGGAGATAACTTTTTTTTTTTTTGAGGCACTCTTGCTGTGTCGCCCAGGCTGGAGTGCGGTGGCACAATCTCGACTCACTGCAACCTCTACCTCCTGGGTTCAAGCGATTCTAATGCCTCAGCCTCCCGAGTAGCTGGAATGACAGGCACGTGCCACCACATCCAGCTAATGTTTGTATTTTTAGTAGAGATGGGATTTCACCAGGTTGGCCAGCTGGCATCGAACTCCTGGCCTCAAGGGATCCACCTGCCTCAACCTCCTAAACGGCTGGGATTATAGGCGTGAGCCACTGCACCCTGCCAAGAAGGTGACATTTGAGCAAAGGCCTGAAGATGGTAAGGGAGACAGCTGGAGGAAGCGCATTACAGGCAGAGGGAAGAGCAGTGCAAAGGCCTTGAGGTAGGAGGACACAGATGGGCTCCAGAGACCCATCTGTGGTTGGTCCAAAGTGGGCAGGAGGGGGGACCTTAGAAGCCAAGGGGACAGCGGGTTCAGTGGCTCGTGCCTATAATCCCAGCACTTTGGGAGGCTGAGGCAGGAGGATCACAAGGTCAGGAGTTTGAGACCAGCCTGGCCAATACATTGAAACCCCATCTCTACTAAAAATACAAAAATTAGCCGAGCATGGTGGTGGGTGCCTGTAGTCCCAGCTACTCAGGAGGCTAAGGCAGGAGAATAGCCTGAACCTCGGAAGTGGAGGTTGGAGTGAGCTGAGATCGTGCCATTGCATTCAAGCCTGGGCAACATAGTAAGACTCTGTCTCAAAAAAAAAAAAAAAAAAAAGAAGAAAAAGCTGCCGCCCTTGCCTCCTCCACCCCCTCGGTTCTCAGGCCCTGTCTCCTTCTACGCTGCCCCAGTCTACACTGTCCTGGCTGCTTCGCCTCCTCCGCTGCTATTGCCATGTGCTCAGCTCATTCCTGCTTCCAGGGCTTGGCACTGGCTGCCCTCTCTACCTGGCGATTCATCTTCTCACCACCAGAAATCGGTTCCAATTTCACCACTCCAGGGAGAGCTTCTCTTACCACCCCTCTCTTCCCAGTCACTCTGCTTTATTTGGCAAATATCTTCCTCTGTGTCCACTCATTCATACGTTTATTTGCTCATCATCTTCTGCCACCCAGATGTGATGTTCTGAGGACAGGGACCAGGGCTGCCTGTCACCACCATGCCCCCAGCATCACCCAGCAGAGGTTTGGCACAGAGTAGGTGCCCACAAATATTTGCTGTTGGAAAAATACTTGGCCCCAGAGCTAATGTTCAGGCTCTACTCTCACATAAACCTGGGTCCAATCCTTCACTGAATCTTTTTTTTTTTTTTTTTTTTTTGAGACAGAGTCTTGCCCTGTCACCCAGGCTGGAGTGCAGCGGCATGATCTCAGCTCAGTGCAACCTCCACCTCCCAAGTTCAAGTGATTCTCCTGCCTCAGCCTCCCGAGTAGCTGGAATTAAAGGCATTTGCCACCACATCCAGCTAATTTTTTTGTATTTTTAGTAGAGACAGGGTTTCACCGTGTTGACCAGAATGGTCTCAATCTGCTGATCTTGTGAGCTGCTGGCCTTGGCCTCCCAAAGTGCTGGGTTTATAGGCATGAGCCACTGTGCCCGGCCAGATAAATTTTTTTAATTAAAAAAAAAAAAAAGAGGCCGGGCATTGTGGCTCACCCTGTAATCCCAGCACTCAGCAATTTGGGAGGCCAAGGTGGGTAGATCACAAGGTCAGGAGTTCAAGACCAGGCTGACCAACACAGTGATACGCCGTCTCTACTAAAAATATTAAAAAATTAGCTGGGTGTGGTGGCTCATGCCCATAATCCCAGCTACTCAGATGGCTGAGGCAGGAGAATCGCTTGAACCTGGGAGGCGGATGTTGTAGTGAGCCAATATCGCACCATTTCTCTCCAGCCTGGGCAACAGAGCGAGACTTCATCTCAAAAAAATATATATTTTTGTAGAGACAGGGTCTTGCTATTTTGCCTAGGATAATCTTGAAGTCCTGGGCTCAAGCCATCCTCCCACCTTAGCCTCCCAAAGTGCTGGGATTACAGGAGTGAGCCACCATGACTTGACAGCGAATGAATTCACTGACTCTTATGTGCTGTGTGACTTTAGGCAAACTCCTTAACTCTCCAAGCCTTAACTTTCCCACTGGGGTGAGAATAGGGCCTGGCACAAAGTCAGGATCAACACACACATGTTACATGACTGAGGCAACAGTGCCTGACTCTCAGATTCAGTGAGGATCAGACACACAGTAGGAATCATATTTTATGGTTATTAGAATTCTGCCTCTTCCCTTAAGGCAGAAAAAAAAAAGTAGCTATGCTCATTTTCTTGATGAGGAAGTTGGACAAGAGGTAATGAAACTTGGCATCAGTTATACAGATTAACTGACAGCTTGTGTTTTATTTCAACCACAACATTTTTTAAACCTTTAAAAAAAAATTAGTTTCTCTGCTTGTTATTCTGCCTTCCCCCCACAGCTTCCCCTCCCTGCGTTGGGCTGTGCGGCCCTTGCCCTCTAGTTCAGCATCGGCAGGGGACAGGGGGGTGGGAGGAGAGGGAGGTTTAGGTATCTGATCCCCACAGCCCCTGCTCCCTTCTGGTTTGGTCACAAGTGAGGCAGTGGCTGGAACCCTCTTTCTGAGGCCACAGCTCCTTCCAGCGGCCCCAGCTCCAGTTCCATCTCTCGCCAGGCCCCCTGCAAAGCCAGTGCCTCCTCTTGCCCCTCAGGCTGGGGGATACCAGATCCCCATCCTTGCTAGTCATAGGACACTGCACCATCTAATTACCCTGCCTGTACCTCCCGAGACATCACTCTATTAAATGTTCTCCAGTTAACCCTTTGCAAGTCCTTCTGCCACCTGCCATGACCCTAATCGACACAGCTGTCAACATTTGAGTACCAAAAGATTTTACAGAAACATTAAGCTCTTAAAAAGAGTAGTTACTCTAGCTGCTCCAAGCCCCTATTCTTGCTAGATTGAGTGGGTGGGGTTGTTCCATGAGGCATCTAATCCTCAGTTGTCTCCTCCCCACACATCCTTATTCAGCCCTTGTTCCCTGGCAGGCCTGGGTGCAGTGAGTTTGTGACTGCTGGGGTGGTATGCTGACTGTCAAACCGCCCTTAGTCTCTACTCCTCCCTGTCAGTATCCACGTCCCTTGCCATGTGACTTGTCTGTCTTCCCATCAAGAGGGGGAGTCTATTTCCTTGAATGAAACCTGGCCTTATGACTTGCTTTGACCTATGGAATGAGGCAGAAGGGATAATGGCCAGTTCTGAGCCTGAATGCATTCACTTTCTCTCTCTCTTAGACCCCCGCCACCACCACCACCATGTGAACAAGCCCAGGCTAGCTTAGTGAAAGATAAGATGATGCAGCAAAGAGCCAAAGTGCTCCAGAAAGTTTCCTGCTGACTCACAAATGAACTCAGATGCAAGAGTAAATCCAGTTGCAAACAGAAGAACCACCCAGCTGAGCCCAGCCTATATTTCCAAACTGTGGTCTTGAGAGCTCAGTAAATGGTCATCATTTTAAACCACTGAATTCTGTGGTGGTTTGTATGGATACCCAGTTAATAGATACCTCATTTAAAACAAAATTGCCCAGGGGCCTTTGAGAACCCAGCCCTCAGTCATAGTGCAAGCCATCCTCTCCCGGTCTTGGTGCCCTTCCCACCCAACTCCAGTTCTCACTGGTGAGGATGATGATGCCTGTGATGAACAGCACAGCTGCGACCAACAGTCCCCGTTTCCGGAGGGTGTGTTCATCTGCAGAGAGAAAAATGGAGGGGTACAGTCAGAGGGGCCTTCGCCTTTCCTTCCCCAACATCTTCCCATGGATAACTTACCATAGAAAAAGGGGTCGTCCTCATGAGAACCTGGAGAGGCAGACAAGGAGCAAGTCAGGGTTCAGCAAAGGTTGGGGAAGTGAATGCGTAAATGGCAGCCAGGAAAAGGGGACACCTGGGTACCCTTAGAACAAAACCCAAAGTCCTCACCATGGCACACAGTCTGGCTCCCATTATCCCTCTAATCTAATTTCCTCCCCTACCCCTCACTCCCTGCACCCCATTCCTACCGGCCTCCCTTCTATTGAACATGTGGCACCTTCTCGCCTCATGGCCTTCGTACCTGGCTATCTCCTCTATCTGGAACACACCTTCCCTAGACGTCTGCATGGCTCCCTCCTTCACTCCCTTCCCAGTGGGGTCCTCCCTGGTTTTGTATATGAAATACACGTTGACCATCCCTAATCTTCAAATCCAAAATCCAAAATGTTCCAAGTCTGAAACTTTCTGACATCATGTCAGAGGTGTTTGAACCAGAGCAACTCCATCTTGAGCAGTGGCTGGGTAAAATAAGGCTGAGACCTACTGGGCTGCATTCCCCAGAGGTTAGACAGTGTTAGTCACAGGATGAGACAGGAGGTCAGCACAAGATACAGGTCATAAAGGCCTTGCTGAGAAAAGTTTGCAGTAAAGAAGCCGGTTAAAACCCACCAAAACCAAAGAGGGCAGTGAGAGTGACCTCTGGTCATCCTCACAGCTCATTATATGCTAGTTATAATAATACATTAGCAGGCTAAAAGGCACTCCCACCAGCGCCATGACAGTTTACAAATGCCATGGCAATGTCAGGAAGTTACCCTATATGGTATAAAAAGGAGGAACCCTCAGTTCCAGGAGTTGCCCACCCCTTTCCCAGAAAACTCATGAATAATCCACCCTATAAAAGAAACAACCATAAAAATGGGCAACCAGCAGCCCTTGGGGCTTCTGTGCCTATGGAGTCACCATTCTTTATTCCTTAACTTTCTTAATAAACTCTATGGACTCACCCTGAATGCTTTCTTGTGCAAGATCCAACAGCCCTTTCCTGGGGTCTGGATCAGGACCCCTTTCCTGGGGTCTGGATCAGGACCCCTTTCCAGTAACAGTCTGACGTGACATTGAAAGGAAATGCCCATTGGAACATTTTGGACTTCAGATTTTTGGGTCAAGAATGCTGAACTGGTAAGCATAATGCAACTATTCTAAAATCTGAAATCTAAAAGCCTCCTGGTCCAAAGCATTTTGGATACGGAATATTCAACCTGTACTCCCCAATCACTCTCTAACCCTACTTTATTTTTCTTGATAGCAACTTAAAATCAACTGATATACAATTATGATGATTATTACTAGTTATATTCCTCTTACCACTAGAATATTCATTCCATGAGGGCAGATATTTTGTCGGACTTGTTCACCATTGTATCTCTGTCCCCTAGAGCCTAGACTAGCACACAACAGTTACTCAGTGAATATTTGTTGAAGGAATGGATGAATGGGCTCTCTATATGACCCATGGGCATATCATTTCCATTCATTCATTGGAGGTTGACTGGGCAGGAAGTGGAGGATAAGACCACCAGGGAAAGAATCAAATTCCCTCTAGAAACAGAGCTCCCTGCTGACCCACAACTGATCTCAGATGCATGAGTAAGTCCAGCTGAAACCAGAAGAACCAGCCAGCTAAGCACAGCCTAGATTTCCAAATAGCAGAAATGAAAGCTAAATAAATTGTTATCCTTTTAAGCCACTGAGTTTTTAGGTGGTTTGTCTGCAGCAATAATTTACACCTTCATTTATCTATTCGGACATTTATCATATGCCCACCCTCTGTCAGGCCTGAAGTCATTTACTTTCCCAACACGTGTTTACTGAGAACTATTCTGTGCTGAGCTGCATTCCAGGTGCTGGAAATACACAGTGAACAGAAAATAGCCTGCTTCCAGTCTGGGGAGGCAGATACTGACCAGATGGCTTGACGGTCTGGGGGTGTGTCTGGACGTCTGTTCTTGGGGATGGTCTCTCAGAGAGCGTTGTGGTACCTTTGGTGGGATGAGCTGAGAGTGGCCAGATCGGTGGAGGGCAGGAGTGAGCCATGGAGGCAAAAACAATGGTTATTACTCAGAGTCTGCATCTGGAAGAAACCCCTCTCCCACATCTACATAGCTGGTGTGCAAGGTCAGGTGTCCTCCTTACTCCATACCTAGAGGTAATAAGCAATGGCAGGCCTTGAAATGCTGAAATAAGCATGTACTCCCTGCTTACCACCATCTGCCTCAATCCCCCACGGACTCCTGACCCCTCTCCTAGGACCTCCTGGCCCACCCTATAATTCAAGAGATAAAGGAACTAAAAGGCAATGCCTGCCAAGGACTCTGGCCTGCCTACCTGGTCTGGAAATCCTCATAAAACATTCTGAATATTGGCCAGGTGCAGTGGCTCATGCCTGTAATCCCAGCACTTTGGGAGTCCGAGGTGGGCAGATGACCTGAGGCCAGGAGTTCAAGAGCAGCCTGACCAACATGGTGAAACCCTGTCTCTACTAAAAATACAAAAATTAGCCAGGCGTGGTGGCACACGCCTGTTTTCCCAGGTGCTTGGGAGGCTGGGGCAGGAGAACTGCCTGAACTCGGGAGGTGGAGTTTGCAAAGAGCCAAGATTCTGCCACTGCACTCCAGTCTGGGCGGCAGAGCGAGACTCCATCTCAAAAACAACAACAACAACAACAAACTATTCTGAATATCACCTCTGCCCCCAGACCAAAAATACCAAAGGGTTTTTCTCTTGAAAAAAAAAAAATCAATACCACCAAAGAAAAGGCCTTCCTCCCGGCACTGAGAAATGCCCCCACACCACATCTGAAGCCTCCACGAGAAGCCAGCAGGCAGAGAAGCTCCCTCATGAAACCCAAGTTCCCGGGAACGATCTCAGTGCCCCACACCCTAAATAGGAACTGGCAGCCAAGGATTACAAGATGTTCCAGGAATGCATCGCCCAGAGGAAGGTATAAGCCAGATCAACGGCAGAGACAAAGACGCAGAGACCACAGGAGTGCGAAGGACAGCCATGCTGGTGTCTGGTGCTCATGCACCCTGGGGCGAGACAGTCTGGACTCAAATTCCGGCTCTGCCACTCGGCTGCATGGTCTAAGGCAAGCTGAGTAACCTCTCTGGGTCTCAGTTCCTTTTCCGGTGGGATGGGAGTAATGAGAGTTTCCACCACACAGGGTGATCACGAGCATCAAATGACTTAATACACAAGAGCTTAGCGCAATGCCCAGCATGAATAAACTCTCAGCAAAAGTCAGCCATTGCTCTTATCGCCTGCTCAGCACTCCTTCCTCCTGGAACGGCTCCTCCTTTCTTTGGCGGAGAGTCGGGGGAGACTGCCCTCTCTTCCCAGTTATAGCCCAGGCTGCAGAAGGAGGCATGTGACCCCAGTCTGGTCCTTCCCTGAGACCTTTCAAATTCCAAGTAGGGATAATGACTGACAGCTAGGTACTATTGACTAAATTCTATCTGCCCCACCAAATTCCGTATGTTGAAGCCCGAAGCCCTAATGTGATGGTATTTGGAGCGAGGGCCTCTGGGAGGTAATTAGGGTTAGATCAGATCACGAGGATGGAGTCCTCATGATGGGACTAGTACCCTTTTAAGAAGACACCAGAAAGCTCGCTTTCAAGCTCACAAGCCCACTCACACGTGGAGAGGACACGGTGAAGACAGAGCAAGAGCGTGGCTGTCTGTGACCCAAGCCAAGCCCTCACCAGACACACCCTGCTGGCACCCTGATCTTGGACTTCCCATCTCCAGAACTGGGAGAAATGAATTCCTATTGTTTAAGCCACCAGTCTGTGGTATCGTTACGGCACCTCAAGCAGATTAAAACCCTAGGTGAGGCCTGGAAGCTTTGAGCGAGGAGGTGACATGAGCCATTTCCTCCCTAGGTGGAAGAGAAGCAAAGATAGAGGAGGAAGAGAGGCCTGGGGGCTTTCATGCCCAGACTCTAGGCAACCCAGAGGCTCAGCAGTGACAGCCATTTGTCCCTGATGAATTTCTGTCACATCTATCCAGGAACATGGACCAAATACATAGAGCAACTCAGGTCAGCAAAGACTCAGTAAATTAATGCAGAGGTGTGAGAATGCTTTATCAATTGAGAAGTGTGGACACAGCCCCACAGTTGCACTTTTGGACAAAATAGAAAAGTTCCCTTCTACAAGGCACTTTATTTCCATCTGTTGCAGAATTGTTTTAATAGACAGAGTCCATAAAAATAAGAGCTTTACTGCTATCACTAGAAAGCTAGAACAATTATAAAGACCCACACGGGGAATGGCATGGCCTGAGAGATGGCACTCTTGTTCAGTGCCCAGTCTGCACAACTGTACATGTCTCTCAGCCTGGGAGTGACCTACGTTACAATACTTTCCAATGGGAGGGATGTCCCTCAGATAAGGATCATCACACAGGCATTAGAGGGGATCTGTTGCCTTATCTTAGCTCAGTCTCCCTTCCCACACCTCTGGTAATACTAACACACTTGTCCAGAGGAAAATCCCCTTTTCCCTGACTCTTGCTCTATGTGGTTCAGGCATGCCTGGCTGAGCCTCTTCTTAAGCCCCAGGGTGGGGCACAAGACTCAGGCCTGACCAATGAGAGCAGCTCATTTCTCAGGCTCTCATTGGTTCAGACATGAGCATGTGACTCCAGCTGCCAATGAGAGTCAATTCTAGGGCTCAGGCTAGAAATAATGGGAAATATTTTGTTCTTTAGCCACCAGATATGTGACCTAAAGTTAGAGCTATCCATCTCTGCCATTACGAGGGGAAAAGTTAGCTGAGAATGAAGACAACAGAACCAAGAGAGGGAACAAAGCTTAAGCTCCTTGATCCAGCTATGCCTGAAGTTGGCTACTTCTGGACTTTCCAGAACTTACATAGCCAATCAGTCGTGTGTGTGTGTGTGTGTGTGTGTTTAAGGTGAAGTTTCTATATTTTGCAACTGAAAAGCTCCTGCTCTAACATTAAGGAGATTTACAAAAAAGAAATATCCACAGGCACATTTCATGGCACCAACCCTCTGAGGAGAACTGACGGAAAGAAAACTCCGAAGCCCATCAGTTAGGGAAACACTGTACATTGCATGCTGCCCCTTGGGGATTCTTTGCTGCAAATTAGCTTAATCAAGACTCTTGGACGTCCTGCTATAAAGAAACGTGGTTAACTTTAACTCAGCGTTCCCCAAATACCTTTCACCACAAACCAACACTTTCCTTTTTAAAAATGTATTAACAATTCCCCAAACAGGTGCACTGAGAAACGTACTGAGGGAAATGTTGACCTATATAGAGAATTAAACAAAAACCAGAGGCTACTGCTGTCAGCCCCACGTTCTACCTGCTTTGGTGCTCCTGGGTATCTCTGGATCTGTCACTAGAGGCTCATCCATTCCTGTCGGTTGCGGGGTCTGGGTCTGGGGTTGTGGTGTTTCTGTTCGGGTCAGAAGAGCAAGGAAGGAAGGATAAGAAAACAGTGAATCAGGGAGGCGGGGCACGGTGGCTCACGCCTGTAATCCCAGCACTTTGGGAGGCCGAGGCAGGTGGATCACGAGGTCAAGAGATCGAGACCATCCTGGTCAACATGGTGAAACCCCGTCTCTACTAAAAATACAAAAAATCAGCTGGGCATGGTGGCGCGTGCCTGTAATCCCAGCTACTCAGGAGGCTGAGGCAGAACTGCCTGAACCCAGGAGATGGAGGTTGCGATGAGCCGAGATCGCGCCATTGCACTCCAGCCTGGGTAATAAGAGCGAAACTCCGTCTCAAAAAAAAAAAAAAAAAAAAAAAAAACAGAAAACAGTGAATCAGGCACAAGCGGTGCCATAGAACAGCAAGAGGGCATCTCCCTCCAACAGGCTGGCAAAACCCAAAGACATCAATATAGCAAGTGTCACGGTGGGGGTCGGGAGAGGGACACGCTCCCACATACTGCTGGTGGTGAGTGAGGAAATGGGTACAGCCATTAGGGAGGGCAACTTTTATTTTTACTTTTATTTATTTATATTTAAGACAGGGTCTCACTCTATGGCTTGAGCTGAAGTGCAGTGGTGCAATCATAGCTCACTGCAGCCTCGAACTCCTGGGTTCAAGTGATTCTCCTGCCTTAGCCTCCCAAGTGGCTGGGACTACAGGCACGTGCCACTATGCCTAGCTAATCTTTTTGTACTTTCTGTAGAGGATAGGTGTTGCCGTGTTGCCCAGGCTGGTCTGAAACTCCTGGGCTCAAGTGATCCACCCGCCTCTGCCTCCCAAAGTGCTGGGATGACGGGCATGAGCCACCCCGCCCAGGCAGCAGGAGGGCAACTTTTAAAACAATTAAATGTTCATGTCCTTTGCCCTGTACTGTCTGGGATAAAAGCACAGGCTCTGGTGCCAGGTTCCTGGTCTTCGATTCCAGCTGCGTCCCTGACTTGCTGTGAGACCTTGAACAAGTTAATCAGAGCCTCTGTTTCCTTGTCTGTATAAAATGAAGATAATGGTAGTTTCTGCCTCTGAGGGTTTGTGTGAAGGTTGAATGAGTTAACATACGTGAAATATTTAGAAACATCACCAGCACATAGTCAGTACATATTCTAAGTGTGTTTGCTCAAGGGGGAAGGGACAAGATTGCTCATCGTGGAGCTGTGTGTAGATAGAAAAAGCTAGAAACAACCAACATGTTCATCGAGAAGTGTGTGACTACAGGAGCTGTGACATGGGCACCTTGTGGAATACTAGGCAGCAGAGAAAACAAAAAGAGTCTTTATACAGTAACGTGAGAAGAATTTCAAACATACCACTGCATGAAGAAACAAAGTGAGTTGCAGGACCAGCATACCGTGCCCTTGAGCTCACACACAAACACGGCACACAGCCGGTGTGCTTCCGCCAGGTAATATACATGGGATGGTATAATTGGGGAACTACTTCAGTGTTCACAGTAGGGACCTCTCAGAGACAGAGGGAGAGAACGAGGATTGCAGAGGGGAGGTGACAAAGGGATTTAGTTTTGCCTACAATCGTTTTATTCTTTTCAGATAGAATGTGTTTACATACCACTGTGTCATTAAATGCCAATTGGAAAAACTAGGGAGCAATTTTTTCTATTCTTTTTTTTTTTTTTGAGACAGGGTCTTGCTCTGTTGCCCAGGCTGGAGTGCAGTGGCGAGATCTCGGCTCAGTGCAACCTCTGCCTCCCGGCTCAAGTGATTCTCCCATCTCAGCCTTCCGAGTAGCTGGGACTACAGGAGTGTGCCAATGTACCCAGCTAATTTTTGTATTTTTTGTAAAGATGGGGTCTCACTGTTTTGCCCAGGCTGGCCTGCAACTCCTGAGCTCAAGCGATCTGCCCCCCTTGACCTCCCTAAAGTGCTGGGATTATAGGCGTAAACCACCGCCCCTGGCTAGGAGCACTTTTTGAATTATTCTCCAAGTAAACGTTCAAAAATTACTCAAAAAATTCAAAAAAGAGATCAGAGAAAAAGATAAAAGAAAGAAATGTGACTGGCACACAGAAACTTTCTGGGGGTGTTTGCGAAGCTCTGCTCCTTGACCTGGTTGGTAGTTACATAGGCATTCAATTCAGAGTAAGTCATTATCTTGTAAATTTATGGGTTTTGTGTTTTTCTATCTGCATGTTAATTTCACAATTTCAAAAGTGTTTTGATTTTTTTAAAAAGTATTGAATAGAGTTGGCTGGCTGCCCTGCCCAAAGTGAACGAGGGCATTCAGAGCTGGGGGTAGGGACTGAAGCGGGTAACCAAAGACCTAGAGTGTCAGAGGAAGAGGGGAACTTTGTCCGCCCTTGTCCGCCCCCAACACCTGCTCCTGCGCTACTCACCATCAGCAGGCCGGGTAGGGATTGGAGGGGTGGGCTGGACTTCTGGGTAGATTGCATCTGGAGTCCAGAAACAGGGGGTCAGGGAGAGAAAAGGAAAGAGAGAGAAGTGGACAAGGTGTTTGAATGGAGGCACCAGAGACTCCCATAGCATCTCAACTTTAATGTCATAGAAATGGCTTAACTAATCCAGCCATTTGCTAACTGCTGAAATGTGCGACCCATATACCTGAAGTGAGGGTGCTTCAGGACCTCACGTCCCACAGATGCCACTACAGCTCCTTCTTTGGGATGCTGGCTGCAACCTAGCTTTCTCAAGACTCTTAGAAGTGCTGCCTAAAAAAAACATGTTTAACTCAGCTTCCCAATGCACCTGCTCTGATAACAGCCCCCAGAACTTTCTTTAAGGACCATCATTCCCTGACTCCTGGTCCACTTTGTTCATCGAGGCGGATACCAGCCCTGGTGGAGGTTGGGCCTGGGACCCAGGCCTGGGCAATCAGCTTTCTATGCCTGTGGCCACAGTGGTCAGCTCAGGGATACGACCTGAGCCTGGCCAAAGACAACTCAGTTCTGGGACATTAGCTGAACTGGGGAAGGGAAAGTCTCTTGCTGGGATTCTTAGCAGGCAGGATGAAAGCCCCAGACTTCAAGGCCCATGAGAGGAGACTCTGCCTGAAAATGAAACCAGCACAGAAAAACAGAACCAAGGGGTAGAAAGAGGTTCCTGATAGCAACATTTGAGCACCTAGATCAAGCCATGCCTGAAGGTCGGTACCTATCCTTTTTTGTTACATAAATCCATAAATTCCCTTGTTTGGTCCAAGTTTGGGATTTGTGTTGCTGTTGTTATTTGCAATGATAGGATCTTGATAGAAGTGTTCCTCTTTCCTTACCTGGGGCTGGGGTCAGAACCTGAAAATCCACGATATTTGGGTCTGCTGAAGAAATGGATGTGGGCTCCTTCGGCGTCTGTCCTGGGGAATCAAGGATGAGAAGTTGGGAGGGAGCCTGGTCCTCCTCTTCCCACCACCTCCACCCTCCCCTCCCTGGTGAAACGTTGGGGGTCCTGTCTGCTGGTGGAATTGCTCAGCTTTGGCTGTATCAATCGGTAATTCTGGAAGTGTTTTCAGCTATGCTAATGCCCGAGAACCCTTCTTCTAGGCCCCCTCCAGCCCACCCCTGTGGAACGGGAGAGGCAGTTTAGTCTAGTGAGCCCAGGTGCTAGGGTCAGCCAGGTCCCTGGTTTCAAATCCTGACCCCAACAACTTCCTTGCTGTGTGACCAGGAACAAGTGATGTTCTTTCTGGGAATCAGTTGCCTCAGCTGCAAAGCAGGGATGATAACTGAATCTATTTCACAGGGCTACAGATAGGGTGAAAGGACGCGGAGCAGGGGAAGGGCCTCCCACAGTGCTTTCCAGGTAGTCAGTCCTGGATACCTCCACTGCCCCCGCCCTGGCCCTGCCTCCGTCCCCTCCAGCCTGGACGTCCCAGCAGCCTCCTCCCTGGCCTCCCTGCCTCCATAGCCTGTTCCCACCTGCAGCCAGAGGGAGCCTGGGAACACCTGAGTTTGGCTGGGGCCCACCTGGCTCAGAGCCCTGCCCTGGCGGCACCACACTCCACGTAAAAGCAAAGCCCTATCGTGGCCCATAAGTCTCCCTCCATCTGGCCCCTGCCACTTCTCTCTCCTCTGTCATCCCACTCTGCCCCTTCTCTGCCCCTTTTGGTCCCAACCCAGCCACCCCACCTGCCTGCTATTCTTCAGACACACTAGTCAACACTCAGCCCACACAAACCTGCAAGGCCCACTCCCTCATCTCCTCCAAGTGTTTGTTGGTCCAAATGTCACCTCCTCAGTGAGGCCCTCCCTGACCACCCAGTTGAAACAATCCCCATTACCTCTACTTTTCCGCAAGCACGTATCCCCTCCTAGCACACGATATAATTTACTAACTTGTCTCTCCCCGCTGGAGGGTAACCTCTTGTTTTATTCACTGCTGTTTCCCCAGTGCACAGAATATCTGGCACATAGCAGGTACTCAATAAATATTTCTCAAATGACTGAATGAGTGCACAAAACTCATTTTATGAAGGAGAAATGAGGGGCGCGTTAGTGGGGTGCGCACTCTGGGTTCTGGGGGCAGGAAGGACAGTTGTTTTCCCAGCTCCTCCACCCATTGGCCTCTGACACAGGGCACTTCCCTTTGCTGAACCTCAGTTGCCTCATCAGTAAAATGGGCATGACAACAGATGTGACTGACTGACAGAGGCAAAGCCTAACCGAGCTAACGCACACGCCACACCTGCCATGCAGAAAGCATGTGCAATGGCCCCCAGCGGCTGCCGTCAACTCTTTGGACTAACCCCAGCTCAACCGCTTTGCCTAACTGTCTGATGCCTGGGAACCCAGCGATCTGCTTTTCTGGGAGCCCAGGTTTCCTGGCTGCTGAGTAGAAAACCGACACCAATCTTCTGGCCAAATCAAACTCAGCGAGTTCTTCGTGGAGGTGAAATTGGAGGATGCTCAGCAGGACAGGCCCTGGCTAGACTCACTGGAAGCAGCCACCGGGATCTGAGGTGTCCAAAGAGGGTGTAACGTCGCCCCGCCATGGGGATCCCCACTTCCTGGTGCCGGCTCAGCGGGAGGGTGACGGGAAGGGACAGGGCATCCACACTCACCAGGCAGCCACCCACCCCGCAGCACACGGAGGTCCGGCCTGTCGTGGGGCTCTGGGGCAGGGTGGAGGCCAGAGATGGGTCTTACCTCTGGTGGGGAGAATCAGGCCAACGATGGTGAGAAGACACAGGCGACCAGAGGGCGACATCTGTGGGACAAGGTGATGGTGGGGTCAGCCATGATGTCACTGAGGCCGACCTGGGGCCGCCCCAGGGACCCTGCAGCCCCTTCCCTGCCCTGAGCAAACACCTCTGGCTTCCAGGACCCCCTACCAGGGTTGACGGCTGGCGTCAGGGGCAGGGGGAGGGTCTCAGTGGTGGAGATACCTAACCGTCACCATGCTTCCTTCCTCTGCATGTCCCCAAAGAAAACAAGAAGCATCAGATAAATGGGTCTCCCAGCAGCTGCAAGGGCCGGCGGGGCCTCCTGAAGCACCTCCCGGCGCCTCCCGCCGCACTTACCCCTCACTGGGACAGACACAAGGAGGGGGCTGGGGCAGCGGAGTAGGTAAGAGACCTCTTCCCTCCCCCCGGGGCCCGGAGCCCAGGAGTCGGCGCGGAGGGGAAGGAGGAAGAGTGAGTAACGCCTCCTGCGCTCAGGGGAAAAAGTGAGCTGGTGTCCGGGGCCGCCTTGCAGGGATGGCGCGCTGGGGAGACAAGGCACTGGTCCGAGGGGGGTGGTGGAGAGCTGGGGAGACTGAGGCAGGCGGGGGGGAGCGAGGCAGAGCGGCCCACTGCAACCCAGGAGAGGAGGCAGAGAGATGTGGGCGTGGACAGGGGCGGAGAGGCGCGGAGGGGGCCCGACCCCTGCCCACCTGAGCCCGCCCCTGGGCAGAGGGGCGGCGGACGGAGGCGGCGCGCGACAGGGACTTACATCGGAGCTGGGGGTCCCGAGCCGGCAGCCTCGTGGGGTGAGGGACGCGGCGGTGGCTGCTGCGTCCAGGCGGAGGGTGTGGCCAGGGGAGCGCGCGCGGGCGGGGACCCAGACGGGCTCAGTCATTTCCTCTTGGGTTTCCTGACTTCAGAGCCCGGGTGGGAGCAGGAGGGGGAGACGCTGAGGGCGACGGGGGCCAGGGGTGAGGGCTTCGCGGTGGGGGAGGGTGAGGACGGGGATGGGGCAGGCAGGGCTGAGGTGAGTGGGCGCCTCTGAGAGAGCAGAGGGGGAAAGGGGAGGGGTCTACTCTGGGGTCGCTGGAGGAAGCGAAAGGACGAATGTGGAGGTGTTGAGGAAGAAGGGACTGGAGGGGGCAACTCGGGGCACTGGGCGAGGGGAAGGAGGAGGGGGCACCCCCGGGCACGCAGGGGAGAGCCACCCCAGGTTCCGTTCTGCACCCCTGCCCCCACCGTGCCCCACAGATGAGAACACACAGACAGAACAGGGGAAAAAACCAAATGCACATTTATTAAGCTCAAGACATGGACACCGAGGGGCCAGGGGGACGGATCTTCGGGGAGGAGACAAGGAGGTGCAGGGGGGCCGTACACGGGGATGCTGGGGGCGCTGGGGCGGGGTGGACTCCCGGATCCCGGGAGCTGGAGGCCTGAGGCCCCGGGTCTGGGGTGCAGATGGGCTGGCTCTTTGGGGGGTCGTCATTGCCAAGGCCTGGGGAGGGACAGCGGGGTGCAGCGGCTCCGGCCTTGGGGTGGGTGGGGCGGCTCATTCCGGGGAGCGCTCCCGGCGCGCGGCTGGGTCCCCACCGCCTCCACCCGGTCCTCAGGCTCCCGCACTCAGGCAGGGTCGGCAGCGGAGGTTCCTCGGGCAGGTGTTACACGCCGCCGCCGCCAGGGGCTGGGGAGAGAGGGGGTTGCATGAGCCACCCGAGACGGGAAACTGCCTCCCTCCCCACAGCTCGTTGGCGCTCCATTCCCCCGCACCATTGAAGCCAGGTGACCCCCAGGGACTGTCACCCCTGAGCTAACACTGAGGAGCCATCTTGCCCCCCACATTCTAATGTCTGGTTCCCTTGGGGACACCTCGTGGCTGCTGCCACGGAGAGAAACACACCTGCCATGGGGCTGGTGTCCCCAGACCCAACCTGGGCTTTTTGGGCTGTCCCCTGCCAGAAAGGGAGTCCCCTTCCACATCCCCAGTCTCCTCCTACACCCCCACCCCTTTCCTACACTCGCTGTCCTGAACATTTGGATACCACATAAGTTCCCCCATTCCCACCCACTCCAGACCATCATTCACCTGGGACAGGCCAGAAACCTATGCAAAGTCTTCAGCTGTGCCCCAAGTACCAAGGCCACCACACACACTGGCCCAGGCATCCGTAAGTGCCCTGCTCATGTTTTATATCTCATTAAATAAACATGAAACAGATCAGGTGGGGAGGCTCAGGAGGCTGAGGCAGGAGAATTCCTTGAACCCAGGAGGCAGAGTTTGCAGTGAGCCAAGATTGTGCCACTGCACTCCAGCCTGGGTGACAGAGCAAGACTCTGTCTCAAAAAATAAAATAAAAATTAGCCGGGTGTGGTGGTGTATGCCTATAGTCTTAGCTACTTGGGAGGCTGAGGCAAGAGAATCGCTTGAACCTGGGATGCAGAGGTTGTAGTGAGCTGAGATTGTGCCACTGCACTTCAGCCTGGGTGACAGAGCAAGACTCTGTGCACAGAATATCTTGAGCACATAGTAGGTGCTCAAAAAAAAAAAAAAAATGAAACAAATTTCACACTAAATACCCCCCAACCATTGAATAATCCAGTGTCCACCCCCCACTTTTTTTGTGTGTGTGTAGTTATAAGAACTTTATAAGAGGCACAGAAATTCCCATCTCTGGTTTTTCACAAGTCTCCAGAAAGGCTGCACTTCCACTAAAAACAGGTCAAGATATTTTTACATAATTAAAATTAACACCCCCAAGGAGTCAGAATCTTTTGTCTACATGCGTGGCCTGCATCCCTCTCACTCTCCATTTACACCTTCCATGCCTGCACCCACTCTCCCTCCTCCACCCTGCTTGCCCTCCTCCTCCCTCCTCCCCTTTCTTCCCACGCTCCTCCTTCCCAAATTCTCCCCAACACCTCCATCCTCTCCCCGCTCCCTACTTCCCAGCTTTCTTCTCCATTCTCACACTCCCTACATCCCATCTGTTCTTTTCCAATAGAATCTGCATTCTATTCATCCCTCTTTTTGTTATTTTGATGCAGTTATTCAGAAATCTTCCCTCCCTCCCTCTGTCCCTTTTCCTCTGCCTATTTCATCCTGGATCTGCCTGGCTGAAAGATCAAGTCTGGAAAGCCTCTCCCTTCTTCCCCAGGGCTCCCTCTCTCCCTCCTGACTAGCAAAGCTCCTCCCACATGGCGGCGCCCCTCTCTTCACAGCCTTGTGGCTCCTCTCCTGGGAAATCAGCTTGTCCTGGCTTTTCTAGGGTTGAGCATTTGTTTCTGGGAATCTTCGTGGACTCTGGGACACGTCATATCCCACTGCCTCCCCATGGTTTAGCCTCTTTCTTTCCTTCTTTCTTATCTTTTCTTTCTTTCTTTTTCCTTCCTTCTTTTTTTTTTTTTTTTTTTTTTTTGACAGGGTCTTGCTCTGTTGCCCACGCTGGAGTGGAATGGCATGATCTCAGCTCACTGCAACCTCTGCTTCTTGGGTTCAAGTGATTCTCCTGCTTCAGCCCCCCAAGTAACTGGGACGACAGATACGAACTAACACATCCAGCTAATTTTTGTAGTTTTAGTAGAGACGGGGTTTCATCATATTGACCAGGCTGGTCTCCAACTCCTGACCTTGTGATCCGCCCACCTCGGCCTCTGAAAGTGCTGAATTACAGGCGTGAGCCACCGCGCCCGGCCAGGTTTAGCATGTTTCATCTGCGGCATTGCCCCGGCTTCCTAGGGAACTGTCCGTGATACCTGCAGGCAGCGACCCTGTCTGGTCCATCCACGCAACTTCCCTTCTGAAGGTTCCCTTCCCTGCCCCAACCAAAACCCTCCCAGAACCACACCGTTTCTCCCCCTCACCTGAGGAAGGAAGCTCGGACTTACAGGATTTGCAGGTTGGGCTGTGGAGGCAGAGATGAAAGAGAAAAGCAGAAAGAGGTTCAGCAACCACAGCTTTGGGAAAAACATGTGGCAGGACCCTGCGGACCCTGCCCGGCTGCGAGGGAGGCACCCCAAGGCCCCAGGCTGCTCCCACCCCGTCCCGCTCTGCCCACTCCTGCCAGACCTCTCAGACCTGGAGTCCGCCTTCCTGCACTTCACCTTCTTGCCTGTTGGGAGAGACAGAACAAGAGGACAGGACATAGGGTGTAGGGTATGGACGGAAGCCGGCAGGGGAAGTGGAGGCCGAGACAGCCCAGGAAGGGGCTGCACTTACTGATGACGATGAGGATACCCAGCAGGAACAAGATGGTGGCCAGAGTCATGCCCACCGTCTGCACCGTGTTGTAGTCTGTGGGAGACAAAGGGGGATATCGAGGCAGGGGCGGCACATCAGCTCCTCCTAGAGTCCCAGTCCTGGCTTTGGGTTGCCCAGCCACTGGCTCAGAACTGCCCAGGGAGGCTGCGGGCCATGCTGGACACTCCTCCAGGGGGCTGATGTGAGGATGCAGGGCATGGGCTTGTGCACTGTTAGCTCCCCTTGCCCTCTGTGTCCTCTACCCTCCACCTCTGCCCTCTCCCGCTGCATTTCCACCCTAGATTGATAGGTAATACTCTCCCTCCACCACCTCCTCCCTGGTCCTGGTTCTGTCCACCATTGTTGCCCATCTGGCCTCTGCAGCAGCCTTCTCTAGGGTCTTACTGCCCTGCCCACACCCCTATCCCCGATAGCCGCGAGGACCCATCACCATCTGAGTCAGATCGGGTTCCTCCTCCACTCAGAGCCCTCCCTCGCACCCACTGCCCTCAAGGTAGAAACCAAAGTCCTCACTATGGTTCTCACAGCCCTGTGGGATCCAGTCCCTTTCCTCCTCAGCTCTCATCCCACTTCACTCTCCCCATCAATCCTACTCCAGCCACAATGGCCTCCCTGCTGTTCCTAGGGCATATCTGGCATGATCCTACCTCAGGGCCTTTGCACTGGCTGTTCCCGCAGCCTGAAAGCTCTTCCCCCAAATATCCACATGGCTCCTTCCCTCGCCGATGTCTGGGCTTTATTCGATTGTGAGCAAAATCTTCTCTGGCTGTCCTATTTAGAATTTTCCATCCTCTCCTCCACACTTTCCAATCTTATTCCTTTATTTTACTTCATAGGAATTATTCTTGCCTAATAATATTCTTACCTTTTTTTTGAGAGACAGGGTGTCACTCTGTCACCCAAGCTGGGGTGCAGTGGTGCAATCATGGCTTACTGCAGTCTCTTGGGTTCCAAGAGATCCTCCCTGCTAAGCCTCCCAAGTAGCTGAGACTACAGGCACACACCACCATGCCCAGCTGATTTTAAAATTTGTTTGTAGAGCTGGGTGCAGTGGCTCAAGCTTGTAATCCCAGCAGTTTGGGAGGCCAAAGCAGGTGGGTCACTGGAGGTCAAGGGTTCAAGACCAGACTGGCCAACATGGTGAAATCCTGTCTCTGCTAAAAATATGAAAATTAGCTTAGTGTGGTGGTGTGGGCCTGTAGTCCCAGCTACTCGGGAGGCTGAGGCAGGAGAATCGCTTGAACCTGGGAGGTGGAGATTGCAGTGAGCCAAGACTGCACTACTCTACTGCATTCCGTCCTGGGCTACAGAGTGAGACTCTGTCTCAAATAAATAAATAAATAAATAA